GCAGTGATGGAGCCTGGGCCGCGGCTGTGGGAGGAGGCCGGGGCACGGTGATGGAGCCTGGGCAGCGGCTGTGGGAGGAGGCCAGGGCACGGTGACGGAGCCTGGGCAGCGGCTGTGGGAGGAGGCCGGGGCACAGTGACGGAGCCTGGGCAGCGGCTGTGGGAGGAGGTCGGGGCACGGTGATGGAGCCTGGGCAGCGGCTGTGGGAGGAGGCCGGGGCACGGTGATGGAGCCTGGGCCGCGGCTGTGGGAGGAGGCCAGGGAGCAGTGATGGAGCCTGGGCAGCGGCTGTGGGAGGAGGCCAGGGCGCAGTGATGGAGCCTGGGCCGCGGCTGTGGGAGGAGGCCGGGGCACGGTGATGGAGCCTGGGCCGCGGCTGTGGGAGGAGGCCAGGGAGCAGTGATGGAGCCTGGGCAGCGGCTGTGGGAGGAGGCCAGGGCGCAGTGATGGAGCCTGGGCCGCGGCTGTGGGAGGAGGCCAGGGCATGGTGATGGAGCCTGGGCCGCGGCTGTGGGAGGAGGCCGGGGCGCAGTGACGGAGCCTGGGCAGCGGCTGTGGGAGGAGGCCGGGGCGCAGTGACGGAGCCTGGGCAGCGGCTGTGGGAGGAGGCCGGGGCGCAGTGACGGAGCCTGGGCTGCGGCTGTGGGAGGAGGCCAGGGCGCATTGACGGGGCCTGGGCCGTGGCTGTGGGAGGAGGCCGGGGCATGGTGATAGAGCCTGGGCCGCGGCTGTGGGAGGAGGCCGGGGCATGGTGATGGAGCCTGGGCCGTGGCTGTGGGAGGAGGCCAGGGAGCAGTGACGGAGCTGGGCCGCGGCTGTGGGAGGAGGCCAGGGCTGGCGCAGTGACAGAGCTGGGCAGCGGCCTGTCCCATCCCGCTGTGGACCTCAGACCTGGGCCAGCCTGCAGGTCCCCAGCAGGGAGAGCCACACTGTGTGCCCTGAGCTCCAGGCTCTGGGCCGGCAGCCCCCGTGGTGCAGCCCCACATCAGAGGCTCCCGCGCACTCTGACCTTCCTCACCCCCTGCTCCTCCGCAGGTACTCAAAGCTGGCCGACCCCGCGAGCTGGCTGCGCATCAACACCACCAACGGGCAGATCACCACTGCAGCTGTCCTGGACCGCGAGTCCCTCTACACCAAGAACAACGTCTACGAGGCCACCTTCCTGGCAGCCGACAATGGTGGGTCCCATCCCAAGGAGCCGCTGGGAGGGCATCTCCGCGGCTGCTGCTGTGGTCAGGGAGAGGAAGGGGCCCAGCACTCAGAGGCTCACCTCGCAGGGTGCCTGGAGCGCTGGACGGGCCGGAGCGGGGACCCCTGCACCCCCAGCCACGCAGTCTCAGCTTACCACCGCTTTTGAAGACATGCTCTGTGCTTCTCCTCAGTGCTCCTCCATAGTTTCTGGAAGATTCAAGAGACATCCTGTAGGAGCTTTTTATGCACCTACCTGCTTCAGTAGAGGCCCTTGGCCAGTAAAGTAGAGGTCAAAGTGGCCATGACCAGAATGCTCTGCCACTGCCGCCTCCAGTCCTTCCCCACCCACAGCACCTCCAGCTAGAGCCAGAGCACAGGCTGGGGCTGGGCCAGGGTTCAGGGTGCTCTCTGAGGAGCCCCGAGGCCCAGCGGAGCACCTCTGGCCACACCAAGGCCAGACGCAAGCAGGGCCCCTCCATGGACCCCGCCTTCCACCCAGCCTCGGCTTTGCCTCAGGAGGAGGTGGCGGCCATTGGGGTGGATCTAGGAGCCCTGCTAGGCAGGAGGCAGAGGAGGTCTAGGAAGGGTGCCAGGTGGGCGTCAGCCATGCAGAGCCCTGCCTGCCCCGGGCCCCCGGCCACAGCTGTGACCCCACGTGGTCCAGCCTGGAGGGCCTGTGGCACAGCCTGGGGGAGGGCTGTGTGCCGCCGTGGCTCCAAGTGTGGCTGCGGGGCTGCGGCATGGCTTGTGCCAGATACAGCGAGGAGCCCTCCCGACCCGGCGCTGGGGCTGGGCCTGGCTTCTGTCTGCTTGTCACGTGGCTGTGGTGGGCGCACCAGAAGTGAGCTGCACCGTCACATGTGTCAGTCACCTGTGTCACGTGTGTCCATCCCCCAGGCATCCCCCCGGCCAGCGGCACCGGGACCCTGCAGATCTACCTCATCGACATCAACGACAACGCCCCTGAACTGCTGCCCAAGGAGGCACAGATCTGCGAGAAGCCGGGCCTCAACGCTATCAACATCACCGCTGCCGACGCCGACGTGGACCCCAACATCGGCCCCTATGTCTTCGAGCTGCCCTTCGTCCCGGCTGCTGTGCGGAAGAACTGGACCATCACCCGCCTGAATGGTGAGTCTGTCCTGGCAAGGGGCGTCACGTCTGCACCCGTGCTCCCCAGAGAAGGGGGCGGGGGTGGCCGTCCAGTCCTTGTCCTCTCAGGCAGCTCTGCACAAAGCTGGGCACTGCTCACATCTCATGCTGGGCCCTGTCCACCTCCCGCCACACCACTAGTTCTTCCCAGGGTATGAGTGCCTGTGTGCAGCACAGCCCGGCCCGGCCCGCCCGACGCTTCCACACCGGGGCCTTACCTCGGGCTCCTGCCAGGGCATCGTTTGGGGGCACAGACCTCTGACAAGCCGGCAGCCTGGGAACTTCACACTCTCTCAGACCTCCAGTTTTACAGCCCAAACTCCTTTTACATCTCTTAACTATCATCCGTAGAAATGTCCAGACACACTGCTCTTTCCTTTTTTGTCGGTCATGGGGCTTGAACTCTGGGCCTGGGTGCTGTCCCTCAGCTCTTCAACTCAAGGCTAGTGCTCTACCACTTGAGCCACAGCGCCACTTCTAGCTTTTTCTGCTTATGGGGTGCTGAGGAATCGAACCCAGGGCCTCAGGCATGGGAGGCAAGCGCTCTACCACTGAGCCACCTTCCCAGCTCTGTGTTTGCCTTTCTTCTGTGAACTGTCTGTGAATGCATCTGCCTATTTTCTCTGTGGATATCTTTTTTCTTAGCTGATTTGTTTTAGTTTGGGGTTTTGTTTGTTTGTTGTTTTGGAAGTGCTGGAGTGTGAACCCAGGGCTTTCTGTGTGCTGGGCAGGCATTCCGCACGGAGCCGGGCTCCCGCTCTTCCCCGCACGGGTTGGTGTGGGGATAGTGTCTCACCTTTTGACCAGGCCAGGCGTGGCCTGCAATCCTGTTCCATCTTCCGCAGAAGCTGGGTCACCCCAGCCAGCTTCCTTCTGTAGAGACAAAGCCTCATGAACCTTTTGCTGATCTAGAAACATAATGCTCCCGAGAGGACAGGCATGTACCACCATGCCCAGCTACTGGTCAAAAAGGGTCTTGTAAACTTTGCCCAGGCTGGCCTCAAACCCACATCCTCCCAATCTCTGCCTCCTGAGCAGCTAGTGTTCCGTGTATGTGCCACTACACCTTTCCCCTAGTTTGACTTGAAAACGCTCTGTGTATTTGGGAAATTACTTCTTCTGCTACCTGTTGCAGTGACCTTTCTTCCCCCCGGCACTCCCCATGCCTTTCCCTGTCCGGGTGGAGGTGGTGGTAGCATCTGTGCGGTCTTCCCACCAGGCGACTATGCCCAGCTCAGCCTGCGCATCCTGTACCTGGAGGCAGGGGTGTATGACGTCCCTGTCATCGTCACCGACTCCGGGAACCCTCCCCTGTCCAACACGTCGGTCATCAAGGTCAAGGTCTGCCCTTGTGACGAGCACGGAGACTGCACCACGGTTGGCGCGGTGGCCGCGGCCGGCCTGGGCACGGGCGCCATCGTGGCCATCCTCATCTGCATCGTCATCCTGCTGAGTGAGTGCAGCCGCCGCCGGGGCCTCCCAGGCAGGAGGGCTGGGCCGGGGCCAGGGCGAGGCCAGTGCCGGGGCGAGGCCGGGGCCGGGGCGAGGCCGGGGCTGGGGAGAGGCCGGGGCGAGGCCAGCCCCACGGCTCACATCCCCCACCAGAGGGCTTTCGGGGGCCCACTAACCTGGTCCCCGTGCAAGCCCTTAGGGTGGAGTGGAGGGGGCCCACCCAGCTGTTGAAGGATGTCGTCAACTCCCACCACCCCACTCTGCCTCCCAGAGCACCTTCCCCCCTGCCTCCAGCCTGTCTGAGTCCCCTCTGGCCTCTCAGGGGCCCTCTAAGCTCCTCACTCCTGCCAGGCCAGCCCCCTCCCCTGCAGGGACCCCCCCCTCCTCCGCCAGGCCAGGCTCTCCCCCTCTAGTCATCCTGTCCCCCGGGGCGAGGCGAGTGCTCAGCCATCTGCTGTCCCAGGGCAAGCCGGAGGAAGGAGAGTGCACACACAGAGCGGGCCTCGTCCAGCTGTGCATTGAGAACACGTCTTTAAATCGGTCTGAGCCGAATGAGCACAGACTCCTCTCTGGTCATTATTCCCTGAACCATGCAGCAGTGCACTCAATCCAAAACCACAAGGCAGCAGAGATGACAAGAGCACACTGGGGATGTGTGTACACGCCACGCAAACACTGCCACGCTTTGCACGTGGGACATGAGCATCTGTGCATTCCAGTGCCCACAAGGGCAGGAGCCCCAGGGCCCCACGGGTACCGAGGGACCACTCACTGCCCGTGGACACACGTCTGAGAACACTAAGCCAGGGCCAGGCAGCGAGAGGGAGGTGGAGAGCTTGACTCTGTCCAACCCTGCCTTGGAAACAGCACATAAGCCCATGCACACACATGCCCCATGTACATGTGCAAATGCATGTGTTCACTTATGCCCACCTCTGCACACATAAGTATGCACACATACATGAAGCATCTACACACAAACCTGTGTGTGCACATATACACAGGAACAAGAATGCACACACCACACACATGCTTACACAAGCATCCACACTTACATTCACCCATGTGTGCTCACAGAGACATGCTTCTGTCGCCATGCATAGCACACATGTGCATCTAGTCATGCACATACTCATGAGCTAATCATGTACAGCCATGTGCGTCCTCACAAAGTCTCACACAATTGTGTGCACATGTGTACCAATATGCCCACACCTACTCACACTGCACAGGCAGAAATGCTCGTGCATAAATGCGCACAGCCAGTGTGCACACAGCCTGCTCACCGTGTGCCCCGCCCCCCAGCCATGGTCCTGCTGTTTGTGGTGTGGATGAAGCGGCGGGAGAAGGAACGGCACACGAAGCAGCTGCTCATTGACCCCGAGGACGATGTGCGGGACAACATCCTCAAATACGACGAGGAGGGCGGCGGCGAGGAGGACCAGGTGAGCGGCTGCCACCACCCGCGCCCACGCGGGCACAGTGCACTCCCCAGGGACCGATGCTGCTGCTGCTCCTGTGGCGGTTGACGCTGGTCCTCGGGCTTGAACTCAAGCACCACCAAGGGCTCCACTCTACCTTAGCCTTTTCATGCGAGGCTGGCTCTCTACCACTTGAGCCACAGTTCCATTTCCAGGTTTTTGCCATTTTTAATTAGAAATTAGATCTCATAGGCTTTTCTGCCTAGGATGGCTTCAAACCTCAGTCCTCAGATCTCAGCCTCCTGAGTAGCTAGGATTACAGAAGTGAGCCCTCAGTGCCCAGCTCACTCAGGTTTGTTGGGGGTTTTTAGATTTTGTTTTGCCAGTCCTGGGGCTTGAACTCAGGACCTGGGCATTGTCCTTGAGCCTCTTTGTGTTCAAGGCTAGTGCTCTACAACTTGACCTACAGTACCACATCCAGCTTTTTCTGGGCAGTTTATTAGAGTTAGAGTCTCACAGACTTTCCTGCCTGGGCTGGCTTTGAACTGCAATCCTCAGATCTCAGCTTCCTGAGTAGCTAGGATGACAGGCGCGAGCTAACAGTGCCCGGCTTCAGCCTGGGGTTTTAACAGTGAGGACTTTTGTCCTTTTTGCAAGTGGAAAGGTGTCATGCATTTCGGGCTCAGGTCCGTCAGCACCCAGCCTGGGCCCAGACCCAGTTCCCCAGCCCAGCATTCCCAGGGCAGGGTCGTCTGACCTGGGCCAGTGGAGGTCACAGCGCTGCCTGGCTGCAGAAGGGCTCAGTTTCCACCATTGGGAACTTCCACACTCGGGACAAAAGAGGCCTCAGGAGGCTCTGTGGGGGAGGGGAGGAGTGCCAGGGCAGCAAAGGCAGTGGTCAGGCCCACACCTGCCACATGCAGGCTGGGGGAAGAAGGACAAGAGATGGGCATTGCAGGCAGGCAGCCGGGGGCGGGCCAGGACAGCAGTGTGCTTAGAGAACAGGTGTGGTGCAGAAGGGACAATGACAGCACAGGACGGGGGCTCAGGATTGTGGGGCGCCCTGGCTGCTCCCCCACCCTCCAGCCTTCCTGACTCACTTGGCCTCCACCCCCAGGACTATGATCTCAGCCAGCTGCAGCAGCCGGAAGCAATGGAGCACGTGCTGAGCAAGGCCCCAGGGGTGCGGCGTGTGGATGAGCGGCCGGTGGGTGCCGAGCCCCAGTACCCAGTCAGGCCTGTGGTGCCCCACCCGGGGGACATCGGTGACTTCATCAATGAGGTGTGTGGCCTGCAGTGGGAGGGCCCAAGCATGGGATCGCCTCTGAAAGCAAAATCCTGTTCTCACACACACACACACACACACACACACACGAGTGACAATTAATGGAGAGACAGAGGCCCCACGGCCAGCCCAGCACAGGCAGCCTCTCCAGAGCCTCTGGGTTACCCAGAAGTAGGTGGGTTTGAACAGCAGTCCCAGACCACACTGTCCTCGAAATGTCACCTAGACTGCCCGGCTCCAAAAGGCCCCTGGGTCTCATCTGTTGGGAAAGCACCGTGTTGCCTCTCTTTCGCCCCAGAGTCTGTGAGAACGAATTTTTAGCAAAAGGACTCCTGTGTAAGTAAGCTCACATTAGCTAACTAAGCCCTTCCCTTCCGGAGTCCGGCCTTGAACGCAGAAGGCCATTGTCCCTCATCTGAGGGATGACTTGAGGGACACCGTTTCGAAGAGTGGACACAGCCACCCCCACAGCCTCAAGTTCCTCAAAGGAGGCGGGGGGGGGGGGCTGTGGGCAGGCCCAGGGCCATCCTTGCAAGGTGTCAAGAATAAGCCCAGTTCACCCCCTGCAGGCTGGGGGCTCTTGAGTCTGAGTTCGTCTCCAGGCTTGCTCTGGGTATTTTTTCAAAAGGAGAGACAGCATGTGCGGTGTCCTTGGGGACAAAGCCCAGGGCGGCAGGACGGTGGGGAGGGGTCCTTAGAGGTCCTGGTCAGCCTCAGCCACCGTGAGAACCTGCAGCGGCCCCCTGAGACGGGGGGACGGCCCCTCGAGGGCACAGCTCCCACATACCCCACAGGCTGCACACACAGGGCACGGGTGCTGCGGGCCCAGGGCCCGGCCAACACTGAAGGAGAGGCGGCCACTGCTGCGTGCGCTGCCGGGCGTGGCTCCCCAGCCGAGATCCGCTGGAGCGGACACTGCAGCTCGGGAGGGGCTGCGAGTCCCCCTCCCTCCCACGGGTGTGGCCCCAGCGGGACGCAGCGCCCCCAGCCTTACCCCGTGTCTCTGGCCTCAGGGACTGCGAGCCGCTGACAACGACCCCACGGCGCCTCCTTACGACTCCCTGTTGGTCTTCGACTATGAGGGGAGCGGCTCCACCGCGGGCTCCGTGAGCTCCCTGAACTCGTCCAGCTCCGGAGACCAAGACTACGACTACCTGAACGACTGGGGACCCCGGTTCAAGAAGCTGGCGGACATGTACGGAGGGGGCGAAGAGGACTAGCAGCCCGCGTGAGACGGCTCTGGAGGCCGAGGGGCGGCTCGGGGCCGGCGCCCCCCACCCCAGGAGGCCGGCCTGGCTCTGGTGTCCGGAGGCCCCTTCCCGCCCTGCCCTCCCCAGCGCGGAGCTGTCTAGCATGAACAGTCGCTGCCAGGCCTCGCCCAACGCCGCCACGGACCTGACGGGAGAGCCGGAGGCACCGTCCTAACTCGAATCTCCTAGAACAGAAGCACTGTCTAAACACAAAAACAAACAAAAGTGCCTTTTGGTACACGTGTCAGATTCCCTAAACTCAGGAGTGACTGGAAGCGAGCAGACAGCCCAAGGCGCCCCCTTCCCCGTCCCCACTGCCCCTGAGCCCGACGGGCCCCAGGTCCCACTCTGGAAGCATCAAATGAGGATGAGGAGAATCTTGACAGGATCGGGAGGGGGGTGTTTGTCATTTGTTTTTTTAAAAAAAAGTGGGTGACTTGTTTGAAAAACTAGTTTAGGGTCCGGATGCCAACAGCCCTTACTGAAGGCGATCTCCTGGCCCCCAGCCCCAGGCCTTATGGGTAAGGCCTATGTTTCCAGCAAGGAAGCTCCAGGGCCGGCCTAGCCCGGGGTGACGGGCCAGCCTGTGGATGTGCCCAGTCTCCCTCTTGGATACTCCCAGGGCCATCCTGGGCCCCCCCGTCTCTGTCCTCGGGCACTCCAATGCCTCCCAGTCTGCCAGAACTCTGTCTGGGTCAACCGTAACCCCAGTGTCTTCGAGGTCCTCCTTGTCGTTGGTCCAGCCCCTCCTGTGGCCCAAGAAGCTCCCGCATCCTGTGCGGCACAACCAGGGACCAGTGAGGGCTAACTCCAGGGGCCCGGCGGAAAGCAGTGAGCGCGTGTCGGCCCACACCCTGCACGCTCTGACCCTGGCCACCCCCAGGGCTGTGCAGACGCCGAGAACAGACTAGTAAGTCTGCGTTTCTTGGCGTGCAGAAGGCTTGGCACCAGCACCGACTTGGGTGACTCTGGCAGTCCCTCTCCTCTCCTGAGCTGCTGTGGGCCTGTTCCAGCCGGCTGGTGAGAGCCACCCCCACCCCCTCACTCCTCTGTACCTGTGTCCACAGGCCACACATCATCCCCACTGCTTCCCCGTGTCTCTCCCGAGCTGGCGCTGCTCACCGCGGGTGACCGGACCAAGGCCACACTGTGTGGCGGGCGTGTCCATTCTCACCCCAGCCCACCCCCTCCCCCAGAACGCGAAGCCACCGCTCTCCTCTGGATGAGGAGACCGACCTCGTAGGCCAAAGATGCCTCCGTGTCTGTGCACGTGTCTCAGCCAGGGCAGGGGCAGGAGGCATCAGAGGCACCGGTGCTGAAGCATTTTCTAGGCCCGGGGAGGGGACGGCAGCAGGTACCTGGAGGCCTTGGTGTCAGAGCTCCCCCTCCCCCTCCCCTGGGGAGACAGCGCGCCCAGCCCTGCGAAGGACAGAAGCCCAGCCCGTAGCTGCTGCTGGTGGGCACAAAGGTGCTGAAGGTGGGCCATGCCAAGGGGCAGCAGGTTCCCCACCTGGGCTCCATCCAGCACTTCTCTCCAAGCACTGGTCACAAACAAGCACCTGGGTAGACTGGCAGGGGCGGCAAAGTCACAGGTGCGTCCCATTGGACATCAGAGTGCTTCCTCCTCTCCAGAGCTGAGCTGTCCACTCTGTCCTCCCCCTCCCCGGTGCCTGTCCCGGAGGCGGGGGGGGGGGTGTGAGAGCGGCTCCCAAGCGCCGCCCTCAGGCGGCATGTCCACAGAGGACTAGAGGGGGATGCCTGGTTCTAAGTTATGCTATGCAAATCACTCAGGGCCAGCAGCCAACCAGGATGGCCCTGAGTGTCTGAAGGGCATGGCCAGTGGAGGGATTGCTGTGGTCAGGGCTGGAGGATGGGAGCTGGAATTTTCTAGGTTGTTGGGGAAGTCCCTGCTTCAGTGAGAGGTGTGCATGGATTGTTGGAAGTGTGTTTAAAAGTGAGGCAGCATGCATTCTTTTCCTCTGAAAACTCAAGGCGTCCTTGTATCCCCCTGGACAGGAGAAACTTAATCGTACCAGCTACGGGGTGGGACGTCTTGCTGCTTCCCTGCTCCCCTTCCTCACCTCTCCCACACCGGTGTCACTGCCAAGCCCCCCTCCCCAACTCCTCTAACTTGTGCAGGCCAAGGCTGCTGCACCAGCCGGAGGGACATCCAGCCAGGGTCCCCTGTATTTCCTCTAAATCACGCAGGCTGGGGCTACAGTAGCAGCTAGCAGAACATGTGTGTGGCTTCCATCTGAACAGCTTCCCCTTGAGCCCACATCCCCATCAGCCCCTGGGACCAGAGACAGAGAGGGTTCCCCACCCTGCCAGACCCCTCTCAGAACAGAGTTCTGAGGCCAACGAGTTAGCATTAGGCAAGCGTACAGTCAGTGTCAAACGTCTCTCTTCTGTAGCTTGTAGATAGGCCATGTCTGCGGTCAGGAGCAGCCGGTTTCATTCCCTTAGGGAATTTAAGAGAATCCTGCACTACTGAGTGGCGTGCCAAAGACACCCCGGCCGCGGTCAGCCCTGCACCCAGCTCCGAGCCAGCAGGTTTTCTCTTCCTTGTGTCTTTCAGCACATCCAAAATTCTAGGTCTCCCACCACCAAAGTGTCAGAATAGCAGCCAAGCGTCAGGCCCTCCGAGATGCCTCCGTTTCCCTAGCTGAATACATGATCAACTCTGTTCTCTCCAAGGTAAAAAGTGGAGAGAGGGAGAGTCTCCATTTCTGTCAAAGCTAAAAGGAAACACCAAAAGCTCAAAGCACCATCTCCTTGCTCAGAGCGCCGGTGGAGCAGCTGTGCGGGCGGCGGGCACGCGCGTGTGTGTGTGTGCGTGCATGCATGAGCGTGCACTGCCCACTCCTGCGGCTGGCCCTGTGGGAAACACATCTGTGAATACTTGGGACGCATTTTACTTTTCCTTTCTCTCCTTTTTTTTGTTCTGATTTTTTTGCATGTTTCTTTTTGAAAATGGACAAATGTGTAGCAGCCGCATGACCATGGTTTTGGGAAAGATACCAGAGCGTGATGTGTTCACACCGCAACTCTGAGCATTGCGCCAGTAGACAAATGTTCCAACATTTTTGTAATTGTCAACAGCACAACTATTTTGTATTGTTGTTTGTATCATTTTGTACCGAAAAACAAAAAGGAAAAAAAAAGGGAAGAGAGTGGATGTTCTCCGTGTGTTTTTAGTGCCAGGTGGTCTTGGTTGCAGACAGAACAGCAGCCGTGCAGGATTGCTGTGTTCTGGAGCGGAGTAAGGACTAAATAAAGCCCTGTTTTAAGTAGTCCCTGCCCTGGCTTGTTTTCTTCCGGCATTGCAGGGGCTGACCGCCCCTGTGGTACCGCTCAGGGAACCCGCACACACTGGTGCTGGCACGTCTGTGCTGCGCGCCTGCCGCTGCACGGTTCCAACTCAGAGGAAGCAGAATAAACAAAACCCGTTCACACTCCACCTTTCTGACCTCTGCATGCTGCACAAGGAAGGTTGTAAAAGTGACCCTCAAAGTGGTTCCCCCACCGGCTGCCGGTGGCTCACGCCTATCATCTTAGCTACTCAGGAGGCTGAGATCTGAGGATCAAGGTTCAAAATCAGCCCGGGCAGGAAAGTCCATGAGACCCTGATCTCCAATAAACCACCAGAAAACTGGACGTGGCACTGTGGCTCAAGCAGTAGAGTGCTCACCTTGAGCTGAAGAGCTGAGTGACAGTGCTTAGGCCCAGAGTTCAAGGCCCACGACCGACCAAAAATAAAAATAAAAAACAAATAAATTAAAAATAAACGACACAAAAAGGAAGGAGGAGTGGCTCAAGTGGTAAAGCACCTGCCTAGCAAGCCCAAAGCCCAGAGCTCAACCCCAGTACTGAAGAAAGGAAAACCAAAGGCGTGGGAGAGGGTGCAGCGGCCTCGGAGGGCAGGCTCACACTTGCATCCACAGTTACTTTCCTAACAAAAAATCACTTACGCGGTGAATTACAATTATGGGCGCAGCTGATAATTGTAGGCACAATTAGCCACTTGCTAATTTTGAAGGTACTGAACACCTAATTATATTCACAATTAGGCAACTGCTGTGTCTGGGACAAGTCCTCCTGGGGGCATACTCCTGTAATCAGCCTCCTGGGGAGAGGCCCTGGGAGGGGGCAGATAACCTGGTAAAGACCCTCCCAGCTCCAGGGCAGAGGGCTGGCGGCCAAGACCTAGCAAAAAGTGTCCTAGAAAGTCCAGCATGGGGCTGGAGGCTCAGGACTGTCTCTTGGGCCCCTTCATTGGACACAGACTGCTGTCCTGTGCCCCAGAGGAGACTCCGAGGCATCCGCTCAGAGGCCTGCACTGGACAGAGCCACCTGGCGCTTCAGCCAAGTGTCGACAGACTCACCTGCAATGCAGGTGGTGGCTGGACCTGGCCAGCATGGACGCCTCAGCAACCCCCTGAACCCATTCCCACGTAAGCTCAGATGCACCCTGACATTGTCCCTGCTAGGGTGCACCACAGGCTGTTGGGCACTGTCAGAGAGGCTGAACCTGCCTGCGCGTCCCTGGCTGCCAAGCCAAGCAGAGGGCGGTGGCTGGGCCACAGGTAAGCTGGGCTCCATCTGCACAGGGCCCAGTGAAGTACCCAGAATGCCCATGCGGGCCACCCCACACAGGCTCCCCCTTGGGAAAGCCTTTAACCCTGCCAAGCTCAAGTTCAGTCCCTTGAACTCCCTCCCACTCTGTGACACAGCCTAAGCAGCAGAGGCTCACACCGCAGATGCTTTGGTGACTGTTCCACTTACTACGGAGAGAAACAACGCTTCTCAGAGTTAAATTTAAACGCATTCACTGCGCCCCTTGTGCTGAGCCAGAGCAGGGCTCAGGGCAGGCCCAGGCGGGTGGGGTAGACGCTTCGGCAGGTGGCACAGCTGCCCTCACTGACGGATCCCTGCTCACGTGCCTCCACGGCAACCAGGTGGACAGAAGAGTCACAGCCACCAACAGTACCGAGTCCAATGAGCTCCTTCCCACAGCTTAGCTCGCTCCTTCCTCTCTCCAGTTAGTTTTACATGCTCTTTTCCCAGGCAACACCAGGCCTATGTAGTTAAGGCAGTCAACAATCAGCCTCCAGCCCCCTTTCCCTTGAGATGGCACTTCTCTGGGCAGCTGCCACCATATAAGCAGCAAGAGCTCCTCAGAGTGACCTTCAGGTCTGGGCAGCTGCAGGGAGCCTTATCTCTACTTGGACAGCAGCCATTATTCCTGACCCACCACGATGAAGCCTCTGGACCTCACTTCCACACCAAGGTCTCCACCTCCTCACCCCTTCCAGCCCCTCCTAGCCTCAGTAGGTTATATAGGTCACCTCTGACAATGGCCGGCGCTGCTTTGCACTTCTCCCTTGCGAGAAGAGGTCTTGCCGGCCCCTGTATTGGCAATAAACCTTTTCTTTGTTCTTTGTTCCTGGATGTCTGTGTGGTTTTCTGGCAAAGTTTAATATACTCTAACAGGTACAGTGGTTCCCTCCTGTAACCCCAGCTGGTAAGGAGGTGAGAACTGAGCCCAGCAAAAGCGCAAGATGCTACGTGAAAGAGCCGGGGGCACGGCTCAAGCGGTGGATCGCTTACCTAGCAAGCAGGAGGCCCTGAACTGAAACCTCCAATAGCACCACACGCACCCAGTGCCACAAGTCACACGTGAATCAAGACACTGCGGTCCGATGTGCCTGTGACTCCCTCAGGGCTCTGGGAAGGCAGGTCCACACGCTGAAGACCCACAGGGGCCTGTGGAGCCTCACAGGCGCACGGCTGACTAGTGATCGACAGGCTTTGGGGTCATTTTGTTGTTGGTCTTTGGTAGTTGTTGTGGTAGGTTTTTGTATGTGTACGTGTGCCAAGCATGGGGCTTGAACTCGGACTGGGCTTTTTCACTCAAGGCTAGCACTCTACCACTTAAGTCACAGCTCCATTTCTGGTTTTTTGCTTAATTAGAAATGAGTCTCATGGAATTTCTTGATCCCAGCCTCCAGAGCAGTTGGGATTACAGGCATGAGCCACTGGTGCCCAGCTGTTTGGGCTTTTTTAAATTGTCCTTTGCCTGCTGCCCCAAATTTCAGAAGAGACCAGTGGGGGTAGGGTAGGGACTTGGTTTTGATTTTTTTCAGCTAACAATGATACACTGGTATTTAAATCATGAAACAGGCCAGAAGCGCAGAACCGACTGACCGGGGACCTCACCTGAACATTTAACAAGTAGGCTAGAGGCAGCTGGGGCCCCTATCTCCCCTCGGCATTACCTCCCAGCCGTCCAGGCTCAGGGATCAAGGCTTACAAACAGGCTCCACTGGTCTGGGGTCCTGTGGTATTCGTAAGCGTGGAGCGGATGGCGCTGCTATCAAGAGATCCAGAGCTTTGAAAGCACAAGGTTCCTGGCCCTAAGTGTTACTGCCCCATCGCCCCCCCCCCCAGCATGCTGCTCTCTGTGTCCTTGACAGTTGCCCCCGACTGCCCTGCCCTGCGTGGAGCCCTGGGGGCTGGCCTCTCTGAGCTCAGGTGCACATCACTTTATTGCAGACCATAATCTGCTTCATTGCTCACCTGCTGTAGGGTCCTCGGTTGTCCTCCGCCTCTGAGCACCGCCCTGAAGGCCTCTGTCTGGACGTTCCTGGTGCGAACCCCTGGATCTTGTGGCAAATGTGTTCAACTCAAAAAAATGCCATTCCTGACAACGCCCCAGCAGTGTGGAGTGTAGCCGCCACCCCTCCCAGCACCGGGGCAGTCTGCTGAGCTTCGGTCATCCCGCACGGGTGCAGACAGGCTTCTCCCTGTTTTGAACCAGCACCCCTGCTGCTGGCAGGCGGCCTGGGTCCCAGGCCTCCAGCCTCCGGACTGAGCCAAGGGCGCCTACCCCGCAGTCTATCACCACAGCCGCAGGTGAAGCAGGACCGTGTTCTGCAGCGTGACCTGTAAACCCACCTGCCTGGCCACCAGGTCCCCACAGGCATAGCTGAGGAGGGTCCAGGACCAGCTCTCGTTACAGCACTAGCCTCCGAGGCCCTGAAAGGGCAGCTTGTCCTGTGGCTCAGACAGCTGAGCCTCCCATGTGACGTGTGCCCCTGAGAAGCGGGAACCCCTGGGCACACCCCGCAACACAGAGTGACTGACTGTGGGTCTGTGCCAGGACCAGGGTCATCTGAATCCAGGCTCAGCAGGGTGTGTTTCTGTCTCCCCAGCCCTGTCCCCACCGTAGAACTCCACCCACGCCCCCAAGCCAGGTCAGCAGGCAGCAGGGGACAGCCTCGGCCTCCAGCCCCAGGCTCCACGGCTGCTGGGCCCGTCACTTGATTTAAGTCCCAGACAAACACTCTGGCAGGGCCAGAACCAAGTTTCTAGAAGCACTATCAAAACTAAGACACTAAGAAAACCAGGCAAGACAGATACAGATAAATTTGTTTTTAATAAAGGAGTTAATTTTCTTTCAATCCTATATAAAACAATAGCAATTAAAAACTTCATTTTTGAAAGTAAAATATTTACATATGAACAAGTAACTGTGCAAAATGTACATGAAAAAATGGAAAGACAGGGATTTCCTAAAAGAGAAAATAAAAGTGTAACAGTTCTCAGGTGTGGATAAAAAATACTGATCAGCGTTCAGTTCACACGCAAGAATTCATGTCTAACGTGAGAATTCACACGGAGAAAGCCAAAATATTTACAGTCATAAAAGTACTATCAATAGACAATTTAATACAATAACCTCTGAAAATATAAAGAACCAATTAGTATATTTGTAATAAAAAAATAGGTACAAAGAAGGGACTTTGCTCTGGACGTCTGTAAAGTCTGCCCACAGCTTGCATACAGTCTCTTAGCAAAATAATTATAGTTTACATAGCCATTTTATGTTATGTGCCAAAAATTATGTACAATTACTGACAAAATACACCAACCATTTTTCAACACTTGATTCACACTGAGAAACAGTCTTTTGATGATTCTTCTCAACTCTGATTTTATTTTATCTAAGTTTTCACTTTTAGCTAAAAAAACACAGTGCAAGTAAAATATATTTATGCTGAAAAGGTTTCCATTTCCTTTAACTTTACAGCTTCACAAACTGTAGCAAATAAAATTCATTTGTACAGATGCTGAACACATTCAGGAGGGACCCCCATGCCGGGCCCCGACCTATACTACGCAGAAACGCACCCACACTCCACGTGACGGCGATGACTTGTGTGTTCCTGGAGAATTTGGAGCGGAGAAAAGCCAGGAAGATAAATAGTCTAAAACTCAGTTGGCTTTGCCAACTGACTGCAACAAAAATAAGTGAAATGAGGTCACTGGCTGTCGACATACAGCAACATGGCAAGCGGAACCGAACCCAACCAAAATGCACAGACAATGAAGGAACTGCTACAAGCTGACCGAGGGCAGCTAGTTATTTGCTAAGCGATTCCATCAGTCTTTATATATGGCTTGTTTGGCAGGAAGGCCACTCAGTCAAGGATGAGTCAGGTTTGGCTGTCCTTTAGGAGCATCCGCAGGCCTTTGTGTCTCTCTGCTACAGAAACGGTTCTTCCACGCTGAAGAGCTCATTTAGAAACAGGAATATAAAACTGTTCCATTGTAAAGAGGTGGCTGTTTTTAAACAATATCCCATTTGCTTGTTACAAAAAGGCGTAATCTGCAAATATATAAAACTGTCCCCAGGCGACTTGTCCTGTGTTACTTAAGGAATGCTTTGTAGAGCAACAGTGAATGGCTTGTCTCGCGCTCATTTTCTAAACAAAATATGAGGTCCCTGAGGTTGACCCGGGTGATTCTTTGCCGTGTGAACTGCCTGGGGGCGCCCACGCCGGAGCTGCCTGGGACTGCCGCGCCGGGGCCTGAGCCCTGGTAACGACAAAGGAGGAAACAGAAGCATTAGCGGCGCTCAGAGGTGGGCTGCCAAACAAAAGGGGCAACGCAAACGTCTACATTCGGCCCCAGGACCCGGTTCCTGAGGAAGGCCCTGGCACAGCCTTCTGCAGGCTGCCAGCCGAGCTGACGTGCTAGCCACACCCTTCACGGGGCAAGGGCCTAGGCAGGAGGCCTCACTCTATCTCACAGGCCAGCCCACCACCACCAGCGCCTCACCCAACACACACTGGCCCTGAACGCCAGGGAGGACAAAGCGGGCTCTGCCCAAAGGCAAGTGGCTGAGTGGCTCCGGACCCGCAGCACCCGTCTCCATGTGGCCACGGCAAGGCTGCCTAGGGGATCAGGGAAGGGGTGGAAGCCCACATCCGATGCCACACCAGGACTGTCACCCCCCCCCCCCGCTCGGCTGATAAAGGCCCTAGGTCTGAACTCCTGGGAGGGACAGGCTAACAGTCAGCTAGGGAGGCCAACGGCTCAGTGATTGTGATGGTGATAGAGACCAAGGAAAAGGGGGCTTCCTGCCCCTCTGGCTGAACCAGACACCCAGCCCTATGGAGATCAGCTATCCCCAAGCCGACTCCACACCTTCCTGCAATGGACTTGCATGGTGATGGCACTATGCAAGTATCCAGTAGCTGGATCTCATCACTGCTTCACTGGGCACAAACTACAGCATCCCAAAGGACAGGTCTTGTGTCTCTGTTCGGGAGAGCTGAGTGTCATGTCCAGGTGGTTGAATGGCTTGCACATCCAATGGCTGTGTCTGTCCTTCCTGCAACCTCAGTCCAAGCTTACGCAGCCGGAGCTAAGCATGTTCTACCAGCAAGGCTGCAGGAGCGTGCTGCCTGGAAGGCGACCACCGCAGCAGGCTGGCAGGATACTGCCAGCTCTCCCTGGCTCCTCTGCCACTTGTCCTGGCCAGATGCAAGGTGTGTCTGAAGACACCGACTGGTCAGTCTCTTTCTACACTGACAGCTGAAGATGGTGAGCTCCCTCAGGCTCTGGGGCCACCGTCACCTTCAGCCTGGTTCCCACATCACCTGTGGCCACATTCTCCTGGTGGAAGGTCTCCTCCAATTGGCTTGGTTATTGACTTTCACCCCTGGAGTAGCCTCAAGGACTACTCTGTGTGAAGACCAGCAGAGGAGCCCCTTAGTGGGCTTAGAAGGAGAGAGAAAACAGTCCTGTTCTGAGGAGTGGCCTCTGGCACAGCCAGCTAGCCGGAACACAGGCTTCCCCGGAGAGGCCCTGGCTGCAGGTGGAGAGAGGGACATGGCCTCTGCTCCCGGGGTTCCTGAGAATGGCAGAATCCACCAGTGCCCGGGGACACAGGGGTCTTACAAGGCTGGGATCCGAACCTTACCTCCCCATTCATGGATGTGGGCTTCCACACCCGCGCCTTTACTACACAGATCTAGTTCATCCTGACTACAGCTCAAGAGAGAAGTCTCAGGGATGGAGGTCCCGCAATGCTCAGGTCGCAGAGGCACTGTGGGCCGGAGCGATTTTGGACCCAGAGACAAAGTCGAGACTGAACTTCCTGCCTCTCCTCTCAGGTTCAACCACCCAAACCAGAATAAACTGCTTGTCTAGGTATAAAGTTTAATGGGTACTAAAAGTCAGAAATCCAGGTGAATGATATCAAAAAACTGGTGCCCCGGACCTGATGGGGAGCAAGCAGACGTGCTAATGAGAGCTCTACTGGCTCCGACCAGCCACGTCCAGGCCGAGCACGATCACTCCGCCCACACCAGCCTCTGCAGGGACCAGATGGTGCACAGTGCTCGTCCAGGATCTCCTACATGCAACTGATGCTCCTCAAACTCAGGTATGGCCCGCTGGCCACAGCTTCTTCCACTACTCCCAGGCCAGGACTGGCATGGCTACTGCCCAGGGGTCCTGGCCACAGCCATCGAGTCTGACCGCCAGCCCCCGGCAGAGGACTGCTGACCTGGGGACAGTGCTGGGCTCCACGGCAGCAGCTCCTTCTGCCAAGCCCACCCCAAGCCCTCCTGGGATGGAGGGATGTGGGAACAGAAACACGTCAGCAGCCTGCAGGCCTCCAAGGCCTGGAGAAAACAGGGGACACAGGGAGGCCTTGGGAGGCACAAGCCTCCCCCCCCCCCCCCCCCCCCCCCCCCCCCCCCCCCCCCCCCCCCCCGCACTACCTGGGACTGAAGCTTCCGCTCGCACGGCAGTGCAGCAGCCCGCCGAGCAGGAGGTCAGCACCAGGAGCTACAACCTGAATGCCAGGCACTCTACAGCTCAGGGCTAGCGCTGGCATTTTTGGTTTTTTCTTCTAAAGTACCGACATGAGCGACAAAAATACAATTTTTTTTGGGAGGGGGGGTGTCCGGTCGTGGGGCCTGAACTCTGGGCCTGGGCGCTGTCCCTCAGCTCTTCAGCTCAAGGCTAGCGCTCTACCACTTGAGCCACAGCCCCACTTCC